AGCCCGCCGCAGGAGGCACGTCGTCGGGTCCAGCATCCTGCTAAACTGTTTGCCCATCTTCTTCTTGAACGCATCGACCGTCCTATCCTCGGCATCTCCGCCCATCATTATCTCCTTGGCATTGTGCAGCTGGTGATTGACATGGGCGTGCTTTTCAAACCACGTTGGGCGCTCGAAAAGTGCTTCGGACGTATCAAGGTAATTAGTAAAATGGGCCTCACGCGCTATCCAATTGTGGCCACGCTCCATATTTAAATCGTTCACGTAGATCGAAGCGAGGAGCTCGCGACGGAGAACAGCGAACACGGGCCCAAAGCGCGCAAATAACATGCTGAGCTTCTCGAACACGGTAAGGACGAGCACTGTCCTTTGCTTGTTGGGGATTGGAGCCCTCGAAAGATTATCCCGCTCGAATTGCTCACGAATCATTCGTTCTGCCCAGATGGCGATGCTCTGCCACCTGTTATTCTCGTCCTCATATGAGGTCGTCCAGTCATTCAAGATCCGGTGCGTCTTCGCGTCGATGACATCCACGATGGATCCTACCATTATGTTACTCGAGCTCTGCGACAACAACGTGGGTCTATCAAGCCTGCGACCGGACTTTTTATCGTACAATCCGCTACGGTGCTTTCGCCAAGCATTCGCACTCTCACTGTTTTTTTGCAGGGGAAGCAGATCTCGCGGTAAGCGCCGCCTACCCCGCAACCGTGGCTGATACAGGACGAATGATACGCAATTCGGACGCACCCCCTTGGCCGCTGCCCACGCCGCAAACCGTCCATAACTTTCCCGTATGTAACTGCCTATGCACTGTCAAGTTACCCCGTTGGCATCAACGCTGACAACCCGACAACCAACGAAGTAGCTTTAAGCAAAAAGTAGCTTAGATGTCAAGTAAGATACATACATGTAAGTTGAGTGGCATAAAATAAGTTGAGGTATAGCATTAGCCACGTCGTCTAGTGCATATAAGTAGCTCGGACGTACCCCGTATGTTATCTCGGATTCCGAGAGTACTGACGGACGTAACTTTTTATTTCTGAGGTGTCTGACGGCGGCGCGCGGCGCCCACTGAGCTTCCCCTCTCACCCACTGTGCTTATCCTGCTACTACGGATTGTACCTTAACGTCAAGTTGATGTACGGGACTTAGATTCTTTTCAGTCGAGGCCGTTTCGCGGTAACCTAAACGTTTTTTAATGACGCGTCATTTGCGAATCGAAAAGGCTACCGTTCAGCTACCATTCATAGTGGGAGATACAGCTGTACGAAATGTGATTTCCTCGTCGATGCTTGCTCGTAGAGATGGTCCAACCCGGTTCGAAGCGGCATTTTCATACAATTTCACAGCGACGCGCTCGGCTCTACAATGTGTCTACAAATGACCCTATGTTACTCAGACCCCGACCCGGACTAGAAAGAAGCGCGACCAAACCAATCGCATACTCCAAGAACAATGTGGAGGCGGAGACAGTGCAGCGCCCGCGCACAGATTTGTTCTCGATGGAGAGGTGGTACGCGGGTTGCGCAAAAATCCCGCCGGGTTCTTTTACAGCTGCATGCGAACGGTATGGAGGCGAGGGTGCGGCGGCCGTGGCGCTGCGAACTACGGACGTGGGGGCACGGACTGCTGGATTCGACGTCGGGTCTTACACGGATCTTGTGGACGAATGGACGCCATCGATGCATGCGAAGCCGACGGAGTATACTGCAGGTCCTTCGACGCCATATACGCTGCGAAGCTGGCCGGTAGTAACTCGCTACCCTGCCGGATGTGCGTGCATCCTCGGCGTCTGTTACCGACCCGCGCTCTTTTTGCGACGAGAGCCATCGAATATCCCGGGATTCGCATTGTAGGCAGGGCGAAACGTGCGACTCGGAATGGTATAGGAGCGAGACCACAGTTGCGCAAGATAATGCGCGGCGGGCTGCAGCTGCGGCTCTGCGCGCGTCAACTCGACCATCGAGCGCACCGACAGGGTGGCGGGCGTTAGCAGCGCGGTCGAGAGCCCTGCGTGGTGGCCGAGACGTCGACCCACGAGCGCGGGAGCATCATCGGCGGCTGGTCTGCCGTAACGCCTCGCTTCGGGTAATGCCTGCGCGGGGGCCGCGACCTACGCTTGAGTCTCGCGCGTCGTTGTCGCATCGCTTGTGCGCGGACTCAAGTTTGAAAAAAGCCATGGCTTCGCTGCTCGTGCGGCCGCAATCGGCGCCGGTGCTCCGGGCGCGCGCGCAGCGTGTGTATCGCGGTGGGTTGCAAAAGTGCACATATAGCGGGCCCACGGTCGTGCTCCAACGCCGTGAGACGCAAGAGGAGGTCGTCCAACGCATGCACCTCGAGCGTGCACGTCAGAATGACCGTCACCACCGCATGCGGTGGTCGCTACTCCGCGCGTTCTTCAAGGCGTGCGAATCCCACTTCATGCCCAAGCTTACCAAGCGCCTCGTGCCCCTCGGTTACTCCCGCATCAAGGAGGAAGAGACGAGGAACGCGACGACCGCGCCGCTCATGGATGAGATCAGCGAGCTATTCCTCTTGGACGTCGTTGACCGCAGGCTCCTCAAAGCGGTAGGGTACAACAAGGGAAGGACGCGGCGGGCCATCTCCACGGTTCGCGCGACGATCCGCGTTGGCAATCTGGACTTGACGCACGCAGACGTTCGACGGGGCCGACCCCATCTTGCGACTGGTGCGCCGCTCCGGCTTGCGCCACCATGCGCGCCACATGTGATCAAGCGGGACAAATTTATGCTCGTCATCCAGAGACGCGGTCTGAATTTTCCGGCAAGTATGGCAACCCAGTTCTGGGACATGATGGCGCGGGGCGACACCCTAGATTTCACGCGGCTGCTCTGCTCGCTACGGCTCCTCGTCAATACAAATCCCAACCCGCGCGCGGTTGGGTCTGGCGCCGGCCGTGCCGCTGAGTCCATTGAGACCAAGCTTGACGGCCTTTTCGAAATTTACGAGAGGCACTGCGGCAAGATAGATAAGCTCGAGCAGGTCTTCACTATCGCCGCCAAGTCGTGGGAAGAGCGCAAGGCTATCCACGACCTTCTCGAAAAGCGCTTTTTCCCTGCGCTAACCGACATCATGCACGAGCGCGACAAGTTCTCCGGGCAGCTCCTTACACACGACCTGCTCCCGAGCCTCACCCTCACCCAGGAGGTGTTCAACGAGGGACTCCGACGCTGCCCGGATCTTGTCAATGAGTTCACAGCCCAACTCACTCACCCAGCTATACAAGAAAATCGAATCAAGCGGGTCGAGGGCGTGACCCTGAAAACGAAACATGCTGAGACGCTGTGCGATGACGACCTAATCATTGACGCATCAGGAGTCGTGCGACCGAAGGGGGCCTGCCGGAACTCCCTCATCAACTGGTCGAACAAAAAGGCCGCGCCATTATAGCCCGACACGCAGGCCCAGACCAGGCCGAAGAGTAGCCGCCGCCGCGAGTGCCCTACAGGTACACGCGAACATATAAATTAGCGACCAATATCCTACTAGTAACGGAGGTTACCTCCGCTCTTTTGGAGTGCGGCCTGTGGACGATTTTGTCTAGGTGGGGTCGCAGCTAGAGCATGATCTATCGTACGTAGCCTCTTCTTCTGAAGGAGCATTATCCTTCTCTTGGACAGCCAGGGCAAAATCATCAAACGCGGAGGCCGCCTTACAGGAAAGCGCGGGCAGCGACTCCACGGAGATGATTGCGCTAGGGCAACCATACCCTAGAGAGAGATACCGCGAGTTCACTATCGCAACTGGCTTCTTGGGACTGGCTAAGAGCTCGAGTGCTCTTTGAGCCGTCACCAGCGACAGCGCCATCCTGTATCCCAGCAGCCACCCGCTGGCGTTGCGTGATCACGATCGCAAGTGCGACTCGCGGGCTGTGGCCATGCCATAGCTTCATGGTTGACTCCTTTCAAGTTGCCGGCCTCGAGGATCTCCGATGTCCACCGCCGGCACCCTCCGCGCATTCGCCGTCGGACACTCGGTTGATGCAAGCGTCGACGTGATCTGCTGAGCTAGTATCAGATTGGCCGAGGAGGGGGGCATCAAGCCCTAGGTTAGCACCGTCCAGTGTTGTGTTGATGAGCTCAATGTGCCTCGGTAATTTACAGCGCGCGATGGCAAAAAAGAGGACGGAGAATCCAATGAACAAGGCGCAACTCAACGTGATAGCTCGAAGGGCTGGCCGTTGATGGTCTGCACATTTGTCACCGAGGTGGCCAGCACCGTCAGGTGTACATGCGGGCGCGAGCGCGTCCTTTAGTGCACCGATAGCAATCGGCATTGGTACATCGCCGAAAGCATGCATGACAAGGACAGAGACGCTCTGGGCAAAGGCTCGGTGACACCTACGAAGGAAAAAATAAAATTCTTACAAGAAAACACGGTTTCGTAAATAGAGCGACCTCGCCAAATAGGCACTATGTGGCACCTAGGCACTGACTCAAAGACAGCCACGTTCATGGCCGCCGTGGCTGCAAAAAGGGGTAGCGTACCCATTCCCATATATACCAAAAATACCACCGCCCTCCGTGCGTACGCCGCGTTTGCGATGACGATTGCTCCAAACGAGCAGAGTGCAAGAGAGAGATCCAAAGCACGAGTGAGGCGTCGAGTGTTTGCATCGCCCGTGGAGCGCGACACTGCTGACACGTCATGCTGCACCCACGCGTCGAGGAGCACACCGCCCACCGGGGTCCCCACGATTCCAGAGAACGCAAGAGTCCCTGAGAACGCAAGCGATGCGGCCGTCGTGTCATCCCACAGGCCAAGGCCTACCGCTATGGCCGGCCCAAAGGTAGAGAATCCGATGACTGCACCACTGTAACCTATAAACCCGGAGCAACCCCATCTCACAATATTAGAAAGAACATGAATCAGAAAGGGGCTGATCGACGCTGGGCGCGCCTGCGTAGCCAAAGCAGATCCACACGAAAGTAGGCATGGTGGCGCAGATTCGGAACTCCTCGAGGAGTGTGGGCGGTAGGGACGATGATGTTGATGTCACTTCGACGACAAGCGCCTCATCAGGGGCAACGATGCTCAAGGACGTGGACCGTTCCCCCGATTCGATCCGTGGCACCGCGCCGCCCACTGCGTCCATGGTCTCGTCTTGCTCGCAGCCTGGCTCCGCCTTGGCGACCACGCGGCTACCGTCATCGGCTGAGAGGAGGAAGCAGGCCGCAAGAGGCACCATGGCCAGCGCCTCGATGTAAAATGCGACGCTCCAGTTCCATCTGGAAGCGATGAACGCACCATAGCCATAGCCCAGCGCCGTGCCCGTCGGAATCGCCGCATAGAATACACCGAGCCAAAGGCCCATCGCCGTCCCCCCGGCGTCCTGGATGAATGGCCCACCAACCGTGACAAAGCCCGCCTCGCCAACGCCACTCAGCATGCGCGCCAGGAGCAGCAATGAGTAGCTCTGCGTGCTTCGTGCGAGCCCTGCCACGACAGCCGCAAAGATCCAGACGATGAGTCCACGACCGCACATTCCAAACGGCGACCGGGTGTGGATCAGGTGCCCGACACCCAAGCACGTCAGCGAGAACCCAACGATGAATGCCGACTGCAACGCGCCGAATGCTGCTGATGCACCACCCTTGCCCCCGAGCCTGCAGCGGTCGATAATACCAGTTTCAACTCAATTTTTACTTAAATGTGGACGCTGCCTCTAGCTCCCGAGACTTGGCCACGAAGTCCGTGAACTCCCCGTTGGCCCCAGGAATGATGCCTCTGTCGAGATAATTGATGAGATTTGTTACAATCAAAAGAACCATGATCGCTTTCTCATTGATTTCGATCGCGCGAACCCCCATGACTGCAGCACGGCCCGTTTCTCTCGGCGCCGCACGCTAGGCATTCCCAGCCGGGCTCAAGTCTTGCGCATGGGGGGGTTTGCTCCGGCGACGGCGTCCGATGGCCGACGCGTCGGACGCCCGAACCTGCCGTTTTTTGCTAGCGCCCAGGGACGCCCGGTGGCTATACGTGAAAAAAAACAAGCGCTCGGATTGGGACGAATGGCTAGCCGTTTCGCTGGCTTGAGTACCAAACACGTACGCGCGGGCCGGGAACGGAGACCTCTGAGCCCAAGCTTCCGACGCACGGCAGCCCGCTCTGGTGGTCGGAGTGGCCTTCCATGACCCCTAGGCGTAAGCCTGACCGTCGGTGCCCCCATTGGAAGTGGTTCTGGCGTCGACTGTGGCGGGATTTCCGCCTTCAATATCTACCTTTAGCTTAGTTTGAAGCTGGCATTGCAGTGCATGTATCCGCCCTATTTATCTCATTATATCTTTACCCTACAGATACGCGTCGCCGTATCTTTTCTCTCTTTCTTATCTCACATCTAGCGAGAGCTGCCTTGGTGTTATCCAGGCTGATCGCCTGCGCTAGTGCCCCTATACCGATCGGGGAGATCAGAGGTAATATCTACTTAGTTCTATAGTTGAAGGGCCTTACAATCCTTTGACACGACCAAATTCCACCGCGCGGGCCTCGTCTCCGCGGGGCTGCCGCGGCGTACAAGTCCGTGCCAGCGAAGCGCGTCACAGTCGATGGCGTTGGATACGCCCCTTGGTTTTGGGCGCGACGTGGGTGTGACGGCTGGGGTAGGCCATTTACGTCGGGTAAGATGTACCACCCCGCTCCGCACGCAGGGGTGCCGCCGACGCCACTGGCGGTGCAACCCCCCCCCTCTTGCGCCCCGGTGATGGTTGCGTGAGCGCCGGTTTTGGGAGGGCTTATATAGGGCTTTCGCTGGCCATGGTGTACCGCCACTGCGCAGCCCCGATAGTTCACCCTCGGACAGTAGGGCAGCCCCACTAGGCTGCTTTCCTGTCCCGGAGTTTACTATCTCGCGAACACCGCCACGGTGACCCAGAAAGGTGGCTCAGGCTGCCGGTGCGGTACTCTGGAGATGGCGCTGCACTGTGCAAAAGCCAGATTCCGATGAAATACATTCTCTGGGAGGGGCCACCCTTCGTTTCGTTGTCATAGGTGGCCCATAGTCTGCTGCACGCAGAGAGCCCTGGCTTCGAGGGACCCGCCTTTGCATTTCACGATGAAGCTTTGCTTCAAGACACCAGGTCTCAACAACAGTGGCCTGGAGGTGATCGGAGGATCAAGCGAATTGAGATCCACGGTAACTTGGTACCTTAGTTTGGTATCTGGCAGGTCTCCTCTTGGACAGGCAGCCTTGTCAAACCAATCGGCGTGATGCTGATAGAGGCATCTTGTTGTACACTCATCTTCAGAGGCGTCGCATTCGCACTCTGATTGCATGAGAAAGGATTTTGGCATGGACGCAAAGGCGAGCTTCATATGTACAAAGGCCTGGAGCCACCCCTGATTGGTCACATCTCCCAAGAGAAACACTGAAGTGTCGAGGCCCTGGAGGTTCACATCGCAGCTGCTGTTGACAAACGTGACTTCGCGCTGCTGGTGTGCATGCTCTTGAAACCAGACAGCTTCTATGTCTTCAGACAGGAATCGATCAAGCTTGATGCCTCTTCCAACGATAGTTGCATCTGCATCGATCCACGCCATGTAGTCACATGTATTGTGCTGAAGTGCGTGCCAGATCGTGCAATATTTCAGCCCTATGCTCTCCTCAACAGCAACCAACTCAGTTCTCAGCTCCGGGCAGTATTTATATTGCAAGCTCTCTCGATCCTCAGCTTCAAGCGTCAACAAATCATAACCGTGCTGGTTTGCATAGTCTTGCTTAGAAGGAAGAGTCAGCGCGGCAATGCTTCGGCTTTCTCCGACTGCTGCGTGACCCACACATAGACGGCGTTTATATGCTTGCCGCGTCTCAGCCGCCTGCTGCGCTTCCAACAGATTATTAGCCCCGCGTGAGGTCGGACTAGAAGCCCCCCCATTTGATATCGAGTCTTTCCGGGGCTGCCGAGTGACTGCGTTTAGAACCAGGACTGCGATGCCTGATGCACTCGTCGCCGCTAGAAGAGTCAGAAACATCACGTGATCGCGTGTCACGCGCGCTCTGGCATAAGAAGCTAAAAGACGAGTCTCCTCCGATGGGACCTCTTCATGACTTGCCACTATGAAGGTCCGGTGGGACTCCATCGCAATGAACGAATTCTGACACGTCACTTTCTTTCCTGCGTCCACTTGTGGCTCCCCAGGATATTATTATTATTATTATGGGGTGCTTTAACGGTCGGCGCACGCGGACCAGGTCGGAGATCGTGAAGATCACGCAGTCGAGAGCCGTGGTGTTCAGGTAACTGGAGCAGCTCGCCCGAGAGCGGAACCAGTTGAGGTCAGCCCCTCACAACGGGCTGGGCAGTGGGGAGGTCACGATAGCATAGCACTGGCCGACCCCGTGACGAAACGGGTCGGACTCCGACCTGCGAAAGGACGCAGGGCAGGACGACGGAGGAACATGAAGAGCGGAGCCGAGTATCGACACACCCGGCCGGCGACGGACAGAGGCTGAATGACCGCCGTGACCCTGCCGCGGCGAGATCGGCTGAAGCGGCGGGCCCCACACGAGCGGCCGCCGGCCGTTCGGTACGAACCCAGCAGCGAGACGTAGAAGCCGGGCTGCTCCGTTTCAGTGGTCTTCGCCGCGCGCTTGTACGAGCCTGAGGCGCCCGACCATCCGCCAGCCTAAACTTGTTAAGGTAGGGGGCGACACTGAAAACCCGGGATTTTGCCGTCGTCGAGCCGAGCTCCGAGGCTGCGCCCATCCCGAGGAGCCCGCGTAGGAACTCGAAAACGACTTTCGGTTCGTCCTGATCCGTCCGGATTGAGCGAAGTTATGGTACTAAAAGAGCTCGTTTTTTTCCGCGGAACGCGCGTTGGGGATGCGCGGACGTTTCGAGGATGGTCCTGTGCTGCGGGTCCGGGAGGATGGCATCCAGGAACTTGGCGTAGTGGGGGCGGTTCACGTAGACGGCGACCGACGCCTCGAACTCGAGGTCCTGGCGCCCGGGCGCGGGACGGAGTACTTCGCCTCGAGCCACGTGTAGTAGTCCTTGGCGCCCTTGCCCTTCCTCCGTGGACCTTCTGAGACCGCGCGAAGCTGTCGAGACGTCGACGCGGCGAATAGCAGCACGCTGGTGACCTGGTTTGGATCAGGACCCAGCAAAGTCTCTCTCTTGCAGAGCGAGCTTTAGGCGCCGACGAGCAGCGCTGCGGTTGCTGCGGCCACTCGGGCCGGCGCAAGGCGCGGGGAACCGAATCCAAACGCCCGCAGGCGCACAGCCGGGCCGACGGGCGGCGACACGGGGCAGCCCAGCTCTCACAAAACGCTCTCCCTGGTCCGTCAAGTGCAGGGCACTGTGACCCATTCTGGCCGGGGCGAGTTTTGGGGGAGCCATAAATCGGCGCATTCGCCATGGTGCGCCGCACCACGCAGTTCCCCTAATTTTCGCGTCCCCCAAAACCCCGGAAGTCGCTCCAGCGACGCCTCCCAAAACCAGGCGCCAGCGGAGGCGGAGCGGAGCCCGGAGAGCGCCGGGGTTCATTGACCCCCCCTAGTTAAGGAGCGAGCCTGAGGGTAAGTGATGGGACTGTATGTTCTTTACTGGCCATCAAGTTGTCGAAGCGGACCAGGCGCTCGGGCTTGTTGCTGTCGGCGCGGCTATGCGACGACCTGGCCGTGACACCGACGATGCAGAGCGAGAAGAGTGGAGCTGAGTACGCGTACTAGGCGTTTGGTATGAACTGTTAGTGGACTCCGAGTCGGAGACTCTGAGCCTTTGCTCCGCTACGCTTCCAAAATTCTTACTCTACGAGGCTTCTACGAGTGGCGAATCACAGGGAAGGCGCAGCGTGCGCTATAACCCTGACAGGGGCACATATCTGTGGCATGGTGTCGTACGGCAGGTGGTGTGCCAGTGGTGGCACTTGTGGTGGCGCTCGAATTCGCCCCGCTAAGAAGGTGCTTCGCTTGCCTTAGCACCCTATCAAAGCGAATCCATTCTAGTGGAATATGCCACGGAGCTGAGAAAGGGCTGTCCTTAGCACTTTAGTTGAAACTGGATATCCAAGCAGGTCTTCCACTTGATATATGACCTCAATTTCAGCAATCTTTGATTTGACAGGGTGATTGACACTCAGAGATTCGGCAAGTTCGCGGTTCTCCGAGGGCCAGATTAATTCGGGGGACTTGTCATCTTGGATGCCACCGAAGGAGCCAGGAACGTTCAGTGACGAACACACAGGTCCAGTGCTTGCAGCTGCTGTGCCGTTGTTGGGCGATGTTGCGATTTCAGTAATTGTCAAGCCAGTGACGTTGTTGGATTTTTTTTCTAGATTGGGGAATACTGCACAGTCGCGAACACCGTCATCTCGCCAGGTCTCGAGACCGACAGGGGCATTTACAGTGAGAATGCACGAGTACGAGCTCCAGCCAAGACTGGAGCCAGCTTTAACTCGATATTGGGCAAGGATCTTTCCCTGATGCAGAGTCGCCTCGTCACCACAAGACACCTGTGGACCCGCGTAGATGGGACGCCATGAACCCCAGCTACCAGCTTTCCCAGCCGGGCGGCGAACTTGCACTAGATAGCGGTCGACCGGAACACCGTGTGAGAGTGGTGTTCTCCAGGACAGGCGCAGAAAAGGTGCACGATGACCGGCTGCAGAAATGAAGTAAGAGGTCATACCAAAGACACCTGGAGGTGCACTAGGAGCTGTTGGCTTGGTGCAGATTTCAACAGAAGAAGATGTTGCTATGCCGTTGCTAGTTCTCATGCGAAGGCGGAAGTAGTAGTTGAGTCCAGGCGCAAGTAATGCTGTCAACACTGCCGCGCCGTCGCTGGTAGCGATGGTCTGGAATGAACAAGGGCGCCGAAAGATCCAGGGTGGACGTCCGTTGGCAATGGGATTGATAGGCCTTATCTTGAGT